TGTACCGTATTTCCGTTAAAGATATTTACCTAAATTTAACGGCAGAAAATTTATACAAAACTTTGGATAGTTTTTTAACTGGACGTAAGCGAGTATTAGACAATAATGAAGCAACAAGTGCACAGTCGACCATGGTTTCGAAGATAAAATCTAGAACATATTCGCAAGAATACCTAAATTTTAGATTTACCACTACTAAAATAAAAGAAGAAGAAATACCTATTTGCGTCATTTGTTTAAACATTTTGGCAGCAGACAGTATGAAACCTAATTAACTTTTTTTGAGACCGACCAGAAAATATACACTTTCTGAATAATCTTTCGTCCAGAAAATAACGTTTTGTCGGTCAAGACCGGAAAGTAGACGTTAGAAAGCTTTTACCGGTCCCTGTTTTTCATTTTTCCGATCGCTGTTTGATAATACAGTTGATTTCGTTACTATGGTAACAACGTTCCGATTTATTGCCAAGTGACAGTTCGTAGATTTTTAATTTGTTGTTTATGTCAAACTTGTTTTCGCAAATTTAAAAATATCGATTTAGATTTTGAATTATCTGACGTTGGAAATAAAAATTTGGTTAGTTTATGCAGTTGTATCCATTATCTAATTTTAGTATTTGTTAATCACTATATTAAATAACATAAATAATGAGTTTACATCGAAATGTCGGTCTTTAAAAAAATATTGTACGTCACGCGACAAAAAATTAGTGTTAAGCAGGTCTCGCCAAGCTTCCAGGTCTCGCCAACGGCTCGCCCTGGAATCTGCTTGTCTCGACCTGCAAAACACTACTCTTCGGTCTTGTAACGTAAATTACTATTGCCGGTTCCTAACGTCTACTTTCCGGTCTTGATCGGACGAAAAATTATTCAGAAAATGTACACTTTCCGGTCGGTCTTAAAAAAATTTTTTGCCGGTCTCTAACGTCTACTTTTCGATCCTGATCTATAAAACCTTATTTTTTGGACGAAAAATTGTTCAGAAAGTGTATACTTTCTGGTCGGTCTTAAAAAAAGCTTTTACCGGTCTCTAATGTCTTCTTTCCGGTCTTGATCAGCAAAGAGTTATTTTTTGTACTTACGAAAAATTGTTTAGAAAGTGTGTACTTTCTGGTCGGTCTTAAAAAAAGCTTTTACATGTCTCTAATGTTTACTTTCCAGTCTTGATCGACAAAACATTATTTTCTGGACGAAAAATTGTTCAGAAAGTGTACACTTTCTGGTCGGTCTTAAAAAAAGTTTTTACTGCTCTCTAACGTCTACTTTCCGGTCTTGATCGGTAAAAAGTTATTTTCTGGATGAAAAATTGTTCAGAAAGTGTATATTTTCTGTTTACATCTTCCAGCGAGACGTCATACTATTTAAAATATCACATTTAAATAAATAATTACCTACTTATAAAAATAAATTCGTTAAAAACTTACATGTTCTTATTTAGTATCCAAAAACCGAACCTGGTCGTTATTTTACTCTTATTTTTCTTTGCATTCCTATTTTTTTAATTAAATTTTTTTTGTTTAAAAATCATAAATGGATGACACAAAATATGTTCATTCCTTGATTGTTAATGTTTACGAAGTAAATAAATTTTTCAAAAGGAATTTCAAATTCTATGACTGTTTTCTGGTATTTCTAGGTGTTAATCAGAAATAATGCTAAAAATTAAAGGATGTATCCACCGAGAAAACAATTAGTTGAACAAATATTTGAATAAATATAATTAACTAAATTTTAAGTACAGTTACGCGGAAATCACATAAGATATATTGACATTTTAAATTTTATGTATACATAGCTCTAAAACGTTACTAGGAATGATATTATTAGATTTTCTTAAAAATATCTTTAATATCGTTTGTTTTTGTATAACTATTTTCATTTTAAAAGTAATATAAATAAATTAAACTACTAATTTTTTACTTTAGTTCTCAAAAACGCACGATTTACCATATAGTAAACAACAAACAAAAAAGGAAATGAAAAATTTCTAAAAAAACACCAAAACTACACATATAATTTGAAATTACTTTTTATTTGAAAGATTAAAAAACAGTTAAAAATATAAATAAAAGTACACAATTTGATGTTTTTTGACTTTTGGATATTTTTTTGTACAGATTTTTATAGACTTTTTTAGATTTTTATAGATTTTTATTACCTATCTAATTCATTTAATTATTGCGGAGTTTTGATATCAAAATATTGTTTAAAAGTTTCTATAGAATTTACAGAAATATATTAAAATAAAATAAATGAAATAATAATTTTATATCACATTAAAATAAGTTCAGCCCTTCTCATGAAACTCTATTATGGATCTTAACGATTTCTTGCTTTTAATAATTAGAAACAGTTTGCAGCCGGAACTTTGTTTATTTCATAATATTTATAATAATTGATTAATCATATTATGTTAAAATAGCCATATCCTGTTAAGTTCGAATCGCCTTAAGATTACTAAAACAAAGATTGTTTTATTTATTTACTTACACATTTACAGGTAGGTAATTGATACAAAACATCGCAAAATCTGGAAAACCGCACACTATTGGAGAACAGTTAATTTTATTTAAAAACTGTTCTGCACAAATCTTCATTTGACATACTCAAAAGAATTCCTTTGAGTAACAACACCGTACAAAGACGTATTGATGAAATGAGCTCTGATGTTGAAAGTTTCTTGTGTGATTATCTACGAACAACTCATTTTTCTATTGAACTGGACGAGTCAACTTTACCTGGCAATGAAGCATTATTATTGGCATATGTTCGATTTGTTATGGGCGAAGAAATTCATGAAGAGCTACTATTCGCGAAAACTTTGAAGACGGACACTAAAGATGAATCAATATTCAATGTTTTGAGTGATTTTTTTAAAGAAAAATCGATTCCATTCACAAACGTTATTTCGGTGGCAACAGATGGAGCTCCTGCCATGGTCGGGCGATATCGTAGGTTTATAAGTCATCTTAAAAGAATTATACCAGAGGTAATTGCGATTTACTGTGTTATACACCGACAACACCTTTGAGTGATAGATTGCACCAATCGCTTCAATTTGTGATTAATGCAGTTAACAAAATAAGAAGCAATGCATTGAATACGCGTTTATTTGCACAATTGTGCGATGAAAGTGATGAAGACTTCCAATGATTGCTGTTACATACCGAAGTACGCTGGTTGTCGAAAGGTGCATGTTTATCAAGATTTTATTTACTTTTTGACTCAGTTTTAGAGTTTTTGGAAAGTAAAGATCCTGATTTAAAAAAAAAAACTTGATCAATTGACATCGCGTATTTGACAAACAATTTAATGACCTCAACTTACAATTACAAGGGGACAGCCTCAATTTAATAGAAACAAAGAGTGCCATTTCAGCTTTTCTTGATAAATTGAAATTTATGAAGGAAAATATTGGTCGGCGCGAATTTTCACAGTTTTCAAACTTGTCGCAGGTAGAATGCCTTGATGAAGATATTCAGACATACGTTCAACATTTGATTGTCCTGCATGATGAGTTTAAATTCAGATTTGAAGATATTCTGTCGATGGAAATACCACCATGGATCATAAATCCATTTGATGAAACGGAAGTGTCGAATGTGATATTACAAGAGGAGCTACTCGAGTTTAGCACTAATGAGGAGCTGAAAGTGACATTTAAAAGAGGGTATCAAAAATTTTGGCTGCAGGCAGAAATACCCGAAAAATATCCTGGACTGTGGGGAATTATGCAAAAGCTTCTGATAGCGTTTCCCTCGTCATATCTCGTCGAAAAAAGTTTTAATGCCGTTACAAACTTATTAACAAAAAAAAGGAGCATATTGAATATCACAGAAAGGGGAGATTTACGGTTATTCCTTACAAAACTCAAGCCAAATATTGATAATTTGCTGTCAATCTATCAATTACATCCCTCTCATTAAAATTATATATTTTTGTAATTACCATTGTAGAAATTACATTACGTTATAAATGTTTAATTTTATTTATATTACGACGGTTATAACAATAATAATTAATAGTGTAATAATGTATATATTTAAATTTAAATAAATATCTACAACACAAGGAAATATACCATATTTCTTTTTACCACTCTGAATGGGACGTTTTCTAAATAAAATTTGTGAGAATTGATTGGTTCTTGTGCTGTGAGTCACTGTAGATTTCAAAAAGTAAAGTTGGATGGAGTCACTTTTTCGTTTGGCCATCTTTGCTTTTTTGACATCCACTCACAGCACAATCAATTAAAATTTAATTGAAAATTTGTTTAATCGACTTTATTATCAAATAATTAACCCTGTCAAGCAATTAATTCTAATCTTTTTTTCGAAAACTGTTAATTCGTTGTTAAAACTCAGACACAACGCAAATTTCCATAGATAGATCTAATCTTCACTTTTTTTTTCAAGATATAGAAATTGGTAGTGATGTTCACCGGATCCAGCAAAATTTTGAAAGTGGTCTATGAAAGAGTTTGGGAACCTCTGGTCTACAGTATCGAACGTCTTTGTAAGATCCAAAATTGCTGGTAGATTTAAATTAGGTGCAATATAAAGCGTTAAAAATATTATGTATAACTTCATTAGAACCCATGCAAAGGTTCATTAAGGGTCTGCTACAACAACATTGGAAATAAGCAGTTTTTATATCATCATTATAAGCATATCGTTACCCGAAAAAAACCTCTATTACATGTTTCAAACCTCATAAATCCAGAATACCTAATATTACTCTGGCTTCTAGATTCTGGGTTTATGAGGTTTGAAACATGTAATAGAGGTTTATTTTTTCTCTATAAGTTGGCATGAAAATGTGAATTTGGCAAAAATGGAGTTACGAGGTTTGCTAATTAGGGTAACGATATTAAACAAGAGAGGGCCTAAATATGTGTCCTGAAGTACCCAGAAATTATTTTTTTAAATTCGTATAATATAAGAAAATAACTATCACAGTAGATAATCAATTATACTGTAAAACAAAAAATGTCCACCAACCTTTCACGAAAGATATTAATCCTTTCAATCCAAGTTCTAATCGTTCAAAATTAAACGCACTAAAAAAAGTTTTCAAACACTTATTAACAAACACTCGCTTTGTTCACCAAACACAATAGTTTCTGAAATTAACATTCTTTTATTTAATCATTGTTTAAATGTGTGTAGACTTATCGAAAAAAAAAATAAAAAATGCATTGGAAATTAGACACGGTATGGATTACTAAACTTTACTCATAATTTTGTCTAGGTGGTGCTTACGAATAATCTCGCCTTTGGAAGCGCCGAGCTATTGTGTTTCAGAGGCGTCCATTCAGGTGAAAATGCAATAATTAAACTATTAATTAAACTAGCGGCATATAAAAATCGTAATATTATTGTTTCATTGGTTTTTTTTCTTCAATATAATAATAATCGAGAGTAATACCACTCCTAAAAACAGACAATCTCTTTATACACTGTTCAAGGTATTACAAAAAAATAATGGATTTTGCCCATAATACAGCTGTACTACTGTATGACATTTATTATGCAATTTATGTTAACAAGCTTTCCATATTAGTAGTCTTTAGACTTTTAGTCTCTTAGACTATTCTAAAATACTACATTTATCATTGTACCACTTTTTTCTTAATGTTTTCTGTGCCACTCCCAATATTTTCTTCTGCTGCTAATCTGTGATTTCTTTAATGACTTTCCATTCTGCTTTTATTTAATTTTCTTCACGTTTATTGCTTAATATTGATTTTATTTTATCTGCATATTTATATCTTTTACTTTTTCGCTGTTTAATTGAACTACATCCCATTTAAGTTGCATTGTATTAAGTTTTTTAGCTTTTTTCACTTTTTGTTTTAAGTTAGCAGTGAGCATGTAATGATCGGAATCTGCACATGCTCCTCTAAATGTTCTTACATCTTTTATTGTCGAACATTTTCTTTTCGTGATGAGTACGTGATCAATTTGGTTGTATGTTTTTTCATCAGGTGATATTCACGTCATTTTATGCATTTTGTGATGTTTAAATTTTGTAGAGCCTGTGATCATATTTGTAGTGATGTAAGTATTTCCATGACCCAAATTTTCTACTGTATCTATCTTATTATTTATATATATTCTATTGTTACTTAAGTTTGCTTTAAGTCCATTCTCTCTGGCTTCCTTCATATACTTCCTTAGTATTTTTCGCTGTTCTTGAATTTATTTCGGATATACTTCCTCTATAAAATATTTGTACCTTTTAGCTTCGATTATCACTTTTTTTATGTCAATCCCTGAATTCCACAAACATTGGCCTTACTTTCTTTTCAATTTTATTTCCTTTTCTTCTTATTTCAGTTATGTCCTCTTTTTCATTGTGTTCCACTTTGAGTTTCTCTATCACTTCTTTTGTTTTATTTTTCATAATTAACATATCCACCTTATCAGTTTCCTCAATTCTTTTTCCTAATTTACTTTTCTACTCTATTATTCCTTCTCCTGGTGCTTTTAGATCTACCCTAACTTGTTTATTTTCAATTTTAATCCCTTGATTTTCTTTTTGATTTCTCTTAATTCTCTTTGAAGATAATCTAGATTTCTTTCTATTCTTCCACACTATCTAAGTTGCTTTTTATTTCTTCTTATTATCATTAAATATTAATATTAAGACACCTTCGTACAAAGTTTGACGTTACGCCGCTGGCTGACCACTCTGTAACTTGCCTACCAAGTACGTTCAAGGCAAGGCCTTTAAATTTTTACACAACTTATTACTGTGGAGTAACTACGAATGAATTTTGATTCGGTTTGGCTTAATGTGAGAAATATTAGACCCTTTTTGCATACGAAATTAGCTAAACGGGGACAAACGATGATAGGAAAAGCTTAGTGCACTTCAACAAACCAATCAAGGTGGTATATATGGTATTCGATAAGCGAAATAAATATTGTGTAAAATCATTTTTGTTTATATAACTATTGTAATGTTTTGAATAACGTTTTTTTGACCAATATACAATTTTGGACAACTACCACAATTTAATTTATATACCCCCGATTTATTATTGGGGTTATTTTGGCCCTTATTGTTATTAATATACTTTCCAAGCATATTATTGATTTTAAAAGCTGGGTTAATACTTTGGTTTTTTTATTTAAGTATATGATGATGATGATACCTGTTCACTAGCGATTTCTATATATGTTAGAGCAGCCGTAATCAACCTTTTTTCCTTCGGGCCACATTCTTATATGTGCTATATTACACGGGTCGCAATATTTTTGGATGATGACCAAAAAGGTCATTTTAAGGTAACTAATTTTAGATAGATGTCCTAAAAAAATTAGGACATCTATCTAAAATTAGTTAGTGGGAATCTCTAATAAATAAAACACAAAACATAAATATATCCCGTTGTGTTACTGCAAAAACAAGATAACTCACATTTTTAGAGTTTCGATAAAACATTATTCAAACGTTTAAAACTGAATAAAAAAATCAGTAAAAGCTTCAAACCGTCTATTAACTTCAATGAAGAATGTATTGAAAACATTGTTCACAAAGTATAAACTAATAATCTATCAATAATTGATAAAAAAGAGAGAAAAAACGTCACTTAGTTTATTTTAGTTCTACATACAAAACATAATTCAATGTATGTGTCACTATCTTCAGTCGAAGTTTCAGTAACATTATTGGATACAGGTAGATTGTGATAATAATGGTGAAATTCATCAGGTGTATTTAATTTTGAAAAATTTTAGTAAATCTTTCTTCTTGCACTTTTTGTAAGTATTTTCAAAACTTTGTTTCATCCTTTCATGCATACCTCTGAATAAGTACTGTGCGAGTTTGGCATATAAAGCCGAATTCCCCAACCTCGCCCATTGATCAATTAAATCTATTTTTTTGGTGGTCAAGCGATTAAAAAAAGAGATAGTGTATAGCGGGTTGCGAAAATAATAAATAAATTATTAATAATATAAAATAGTTTTTGCTGAGTTGCGTTTGTGTAAAAAAGTGGGGATATGTACTCAATGGAATATGACGTTTTTTGAATGTCCAGTATTCGAAGTTCAAATATAATCCAGAATTCGACCTCCTTTGAATAGCCAAAAGTGTTCCATTTTTACATTTCACTGGACGTCCATTGAATGTAGAACATCCAGAAAAAAAACATTTTTGGACGCCCAGCATCCAAAATTGTATATCGAATGGACCTAATTGTGCTGTCTGGGCAGAGCCATAAAAGTCATTCTTAGTCTCACTCCCCATGATATTTACAACAATTACAATATATACATATAGTGATAAAAATAATAAAAAAAAAACACTTAAGTGTAAAAATTGGCTGCGTTCATCCGCGCCATTTTAAGGAGCGCTACAAAAGTAGCGATCACTTATGCTACCTGATCGATCTTTATGCACGGATGAACCATGTTTAAAAGTGACATTTGATTGTGGTTTATTTATTTTACTTTTGAGTTGAATGTCTCTGGTTGAAGATTTGTTTGTTTATTTGTGGTTTGTTTATTTTTCAATTGCTAATATAACCCTACTAGTCACCAAGCAAACCGTGGACGTAAGTGCGTAAGACAGATCAGTGATCACCGATCAACGTAAATAAAATGCGCTACTTTTAATGGCGGCCGCTCCTTGAGCGAAATGTCAAAATACACCGTTCATACGTGCCACTCGAGAGCGCTACCAGATCGATCAGGCAGCCATTATGGTAGATTGTTGATCAAAACTCCATGTGACAATAAACAAGTTTACTTTTAATTTACAAATACTACGTTTTAAAAACTAGAATTGTCGTTAGAAACAAATTGAGCGTACCGTTCAGCAAGCTGATCCTACTACCTTAATAGCAGCTATAATTTCATACACTCATTGAAAGCAGCCAGGGCTGCCGAGAGCCAGGTGGGGCCCCGGGACAATTCTCCAGATCGGGCCCCGCGATAATTTTATAAAAAAAGTCTTGAAGCAAAAATGTCTCCTTCTCTTTACTTAAATTTTTCTAAAAAAAAAAGTTTTCAAGCAAAAACTTCTCCTCATCTACTTGAATTTCTCTAAAAAAAGATCATCAAGCAAAAACTTCTCCTCCTCTACTTGAATTTCTCTAAAAAAAGGTCTTCAAGCAAAAACTTCTCCTCTACTTGAATTTCTCTAAAAAAAGGTCTTCAAGCAAAAACTTCTCCTCATCTACTTGAATTTCTATAAAAAAAAGTTTTCAAGCAAAAACTTCTCCTCTACTTGAATTTCTCTAAAAAAAAAAGGTTTTCAGGCAAAAACTTTTCCTCATCTACTTGAATTTCTCTAAAAAAAGGTCTTCAAGCAAAAACTTCCTCTTGTGCCGAACTTCTGAAAGTAAAAAATAAACCTCGCTACAGTTGCCGGCCCCACTTGAGCCCGGGTCCCGGGAATTGGTCCCGGCTGCCCCCCCCCCTCTTGGCGACCCTGAAAGCAGCTACAAGATACAAGAAACTACAGAGTTGCCAGGGAGCTTTTAAGTTTGACTATGACTAGATAGAATCTACGCCTGATCATAAGCATTCTGACTGGTCATTGCCAAGTACGAAAGCATCTTCATATCATAGTGCTGTCAGAATCAGCACTCTCCAGGGAGTACGAACGAGAAAATGATACCATCGAACATATTCTCTACGATTGCCCGACGATCTCATTTATTAGAAAATTTGTGTTCGGCAAGCATCGGCTAAACACTGGCCGATATAAAAGAAGCCTCTCTTGGTGACGTTGTCAACTACATCAAATCTGTAAGCTGGCTCACGAGCTAGGAGGTGACTATATACGTAGGAGAATGCATAATGGGCCTAGTGAGTGCCGTGGAGTAAGCCATTCTCCACACGTTTCAGATGCAGAAACTTATGTCAAAGAAGTAGAAAGAGTAGAACGATAAGGTACCGTCAATGAACTGGAGTGGGGTAGAATGCTTGTCAATAGGCTTGAGATGCGACTCTATGGGCAGAGACAGGTTATTTTTCATCTTACTCAGGAGTATTTATAACAACCATTTTCTATTTCACTTTGTTATTGTCTGATCCACCAGCATGTGGATTGAACAATAACAATGTGAAACAGATAATGGTTATTATAAATACTCCCGAGTGAAATGAGAAATAAAAATGGCTGCGCCCATCTTCTATTGATACAATATGCACATTGGCTTTCTACCCCACTACAGTTTATTGGGTACCGTCTGCGCATCCATCACGAGTGTTGAAATTGTGCATGATTCGACCTTCCACTCTTACACAAGTAATTTACAAGGAGAGGTTGCTTTAAAGGACAGTAAATAAATTCCAGGCTTGGCTTTGTTCACTCATTATAATCTTATGTTCAACTTTGTTTTTTGTTTGGGTTGTGGCTGTTGTACGCTGTTTTGGCGTCAATTCTTTGTTATATTGCTTTGTTATATTTGTGATTTTTTGTGCTTTGATTTTGGTTTAGTATTAAATTATATTTGTTAACTATTTTCCGATGCACTGTTTTTTATTTGTTGCACAAAATATTCTTAAACCATCCCTGAGTCTTGTTTACAAAATGTGTTAAACGAAATTGTGCATACTGTCTATACTTTTTGATTGACAGTTATTCTACCCCTCTCCACTTCATTGGCTTATGTTTATTTTGAAAAACATGGATGATCAATTTATGTACATCATTGTCCCTGTCAAATCACCAGACTCACAGGGTCGCCATATTTTAACCCACGGGTAACTATTTTGTTTAACGTGACTTACCATGCCGTTACGTGACGTTGAGTTCCCTATATGGTGCGTTTGATTTGATCATCGGAGATCTCTGAGCGCTTCAAAAGTGTTTGAATTGACACTCCGAGAGATCCCTAAAGTGTTTGTTTCGCTTTGGAGCGAGAACATAGAGCGAGCTCGATGTTCTCAGAGCAGAAAGATCGAGAAGAGGGAGAAATTTGTCTTTGTCTCTACCTATCTCTTTTTAATTAACTTACAAACAAATTTGAATCTTAAAATTAAAGACCAGACAAGAAGTCAACAAATTACTTAGCCGCTTTTGTCTTATAGCTAAAATTATTCAACATAAAAAAACACAAAATGTGTGTTTGGAAAATACATTTTTTCTGTCCAGATCTAATCACCAATAATCACAGTCATGGAGTAGGAGAGCGAAGCGGGCATTTGTGGTAAATGCTGCATTTCAGGGCCATTACCCCTTATTATTAAAAGTTTTTCCATTTTCTTTACTTTTTGCTCACTATTTTAACATACAAACCAGAAACAAGAATCACAAAAAAGCGAGGTTGTTTTTTACTCTGTTTTATTTGATTTGATTCAATGCTCTATTGTGACGTCATCACTTCTCGGTCTCCTCGACGCTCGCTCGATCGAGTTTCAAATCAAACGCCCCTATAGTACGAATTAAGCTTAAATATCACAGTATCATCAATTTTCCTATACAGAGTAAGCTGTGTTGGAGACAACCTCCACCACTATTGTTTCATTAGTTACTTTTTTTTACTTCATGTTGGTAACTTTGACATCTCGGCTTCCTACGGGATTTGATCCAGACAGGAAGTACCATCAGTCTATAACTTTACTATCAACTGTTAACTGTTCTACAGTAGCAGCCATTGCATTTCTATTGCATTATAATATATTCATTATCAAGCTCTGCCTTCTGGGCATCTTATGTAAATCTGGCTTCTGGCCATAAGTTTCACCCCTCTGTAAATAGTGTTGTAAATAAAAGTGTTTAAGTAAAGTGCATAGTTTTTGATTACACGCCATTTCCGGATTTACCAGCGAAGCCCTAAGAATTACAGTCCGATAATTATTAATTCAGATAACGTACCCCACAAGCTGAGTTTGACTATAGTTCAAATAACGTTCAAATAAAAAGAAACTGAGCATTTACGATTTGAGATGATGATGAGTTGATAAGTACCTATACCTATTCCAATGGCAAAAATGTTTTTTTGTTTTTTTAGTATACCCCCTTCTTAATTATAAATTTGTTGGTCAAGGAAAAAAATAAAACTCGAAATATTTTTATATTATTTATTAAAAAATATATACCTACTTACTTATATTAAAAATGAAATCACAAGTATTAAGTATGTAAAAATTGTCTCATGTTCGAATATTCTTTTATTGTTTTTTAAAATTTAACATCTTTTTAATTTAGTTTCTGGTTAATTTCAATATTTAACTGGTTTTATAGTAAAATATCGGGCGACATTTTCCTTAATTTTTTAAAATTTTATTAAAAATAATAACAGAAATAGAAATTTAGCAAACGTGACAATAATTCCACAATTATTATTATTTGCATCTACCAGCAATTTCACCCAAATCCTAAACGCCTACATAAAAATACAAATTATCGTTTCTTCTTTATAAGAAACACACTGAGCGTTCCGAAAAATATAGTCCATAATAATCCAACACCGATGCCATTGAAAACTTGAAAATTATCAATAGTCCATCCTTTTTTGGAAACATTTCTCAAAGACTCTATGCACATGGTGAACGGCAAACATTTTGCGAAGTATCTCAGGAATGGCGGCATTCCCTCAGTTGGCCACATCAGACCTGAAAATTTAACAAAAATTGCTTTATATTGACATGGGCGTCGGTACACAATTTTATTTTAATTTTCTTCTAGTAGAGGTTAAATTAAAATAAAAAAACAGAATTCCTTACCGCTTAGCATCATCATCGGTAGAAATATCCCAGTAAGAACAGTGTTTGCCATCGAATGGTCTGTACTGATAACAGAAACCCAAAATCCTGTAACAAAAAATACTCCTCTGAAATTTCATTTACAACTCTAGTTCGTTATATTTAAGTGGGCAATCATGCACTTGGTTTTCGGAACACAGCTCAAGATGACAGTTGACAGCGCGCTTAACCGAAGGACAGTTTTGTCGGTCTCAACAAGGTCTCAACTTTATGCATTGTGTCGTTATTTTGTAATGTCTTTTCTTAGTATTAAAAAGCTTAAACAGTCTGTCTTTGTATCGTTTAATACACAATATAGTTATTCAAAAACCATTTTAATAGTTCCAGATACAGTCTATAAGTTAATCATCTTAGACGATTCCAAACAACACTCACCATAAGACATTCCGCAAATTCCTTGAAGATAAATCATCAAATACATCAGCCACAAACTCCCGACATATTCTTGCTGGTAAATGGCGTACACCACCACCAATAGTTCGAGTGTTTGAAAGATACAAATAGATGCTTGAAGGACCATATGAGTTATAGTTATTTCCAGAGAAGTAACACCTGCTACTATGGATCTGTCCCAAACTCCGTCGTGTCGATCTGTGATAATTATCTGAGAGGTCATCATGGCCCCCATGAAAAACATGATGCTAAACATAAATAAATAAATGTTGTATTATAAAATGTATCTAGAAAAATAAACGTGTTGGAAAACAAGTATGTGGTTAAAAAAAATGTGACAGACGTAAAATAAAATAAATAAAACAGCCATATGTGACAAAATAAGAGCGACCGTTTCTCTTCGGAAAACAACTACTCCTTTGGCCAATACCTCAAGAGGTATTGAATTATATCCAAAGGTAAGACAGCAGAGATAGAAATTAAATTTCAACACTCTACCTTTGATTTTGTTCACTAAGGAGAACATCATTCTTGGACTGGTTTCGTCCTTATTAGGACTCTTCAGCAAAAAATAGATGGTTCTTAATTCCAGTCTCTAATGGAATTAACGAAGCCAACATATTCACTAGTATACATTATAATGTTAGTTACGAAAAGAATAAGATTTCAAGTAATAAAAATGGTGTCGCCATATGTTTACGCGCTTTTATGCACAGTAAGTTTTAATGTAAACTATTTTTCACTTGCTTAAAGCTAAAACTAAATTAATTATTTCTGACAGTTCGCCGTCATTATTTGTTTTCATTTAATTCACCATTTACTAATGACCTCTGACGGATTCTGACAGTTTAGCAGTTTCTTTCTTTAGGTATTTGACGTTTGACGTCTGACGTTTGGCGTCTGACTTCTGAAGTCTGAATTTATTCTGTAATATATAAACATACTATTAATGTAGAACTTACGTGATGAAACTCCCTGGGATCATGAATACTGTGTAAGGTTCGTTATTGTCTCCGTAAAAGAAGTTTATATCTACAGGTAGATCTCCTAAACCTTTAACGAAGCCGCAGTCGTTGAATATTTCGTTTTGGTAATTGGTATAGAGATCGATCAGTTTGTATTTTAATGTTGCTCCTATCTGTCTATCTATATAAAAAAATATGATGTAATTTTCTATTTAGTCTCTTTTATAATAATTACTTACTAGACATGTCCATCCATACTTTAATTTCGCTCAGATCTAATATTTCGGATTCCGCATCTTTTCCTTTTTCTATTCGCATTTCTGAAGTATCGGTGAAATTCGATGATATGTACATGACGCCCACAATTTTACCATGCGTGGCGTCTTCTTTTGCTTCGTCCAACTTATCATAATACACCTTCAACAAAAAACTAAATTTAAAAATATAACTTAATCTTTGTAAGATGTTTAAAAAGTTTTTACTCAGCTAAACAAATGAAATACAGATAAGTAATGGACGCCGTTTAGGCTTTGCTTGGAACCAGTATATACCAATGCTTAATTTCAAAGTCTCACTTTACCAATGAATCCTTTATTAAATTTAAGGGATAGAAGGTTTATCATACCATTCATCCCTAATATGCAGCAAGAGGAGGTAGCGCAGTAATAATTAGAGAAGCAATTAACGATTATCAAAAAGCGGGATACAGGCTACTTTAGTAATAATACAATCTAAAACTAATGATTTTATGGTCACTTCTACATACTGTCCTTCAAGAAATACGTTAAAAAAGAACAATACTTATATTTCTTTAATAGTCAAGGACCTAAATTTATAAAACAAGATGAAGCATACTCTGAATTGAAAGAAATTAAAGCAGGAGTACCACAAGGAAGCGTCCTAGGACCCACTTTGTATATGTTATACACTTGTGACAGAACAAATCATAATAGCTACATTTGCAGATGATACTATGCTAGAAATAGACAAAGATCTTGAAGAAGCTGCAAATAAAGTACAAACATCAGTTAATTAAATAAATAACTGGTCCAAAATTAAACGTTTTGCAAGTAAAAATTATGTGTAGCTCATATAAACTTTTTGTAGGAAATTGATTTGGCGAAGAATGCCAAATATTAGAAGATAACTAGGATTATGGCCTACTAAATAGTACCTACCTCCTTTTTTTAAATATTTTTATGTATAAACATCAGTGGTATAAATAAATTAGAACGTACATTTTACCCAACAAATAAAAAAATTGCCGGGATATTGCTGGCTTTTTGCTGTAATTGAAGGGAAAATGAATGCGATGATTAAAAGATAAAAGCCTACTTTTGGCCTTTCGATAATGGCCCAGCATTATGTCGATTCATGATGGTAAGTAACTGTATTGGGTAAAAGCATGGTAAAAGTCAAGAGGCTTTTAACTGCCGCAGAACCAACTCCAACAGTCCAGGAGGGCTCCGTCCCGCGTTCATAGATGGAGACACCGATGATCGCTTGTTACATACTCAACGAGGCCAGTCGCGCATTGCTGGTATTCACTATTCAGTATTTATTATAATTTTTTACTTTAACATGTTAATTTAGAATATTTTATTAATAATTTTTTTGAAGAAAATATTTTTTCTGTATTATTATATTATATAGCTGAATTAAATAAAATGTCTACAATATTCTATATCGAAATGTTTTCTGTTTTTGTATAAAATTTATAGTTCAAACGGTACTACTGGTCAAAGAGGCACTATCGAATATCCTGTCTGATTATTTGCCTGACACATAGCCTTTATTAATATGGTAAAAGGCCAGCAATTTCCCGTTAACTTCCCATCAATAGGCCATTAATTGCCAATATATTTATTTATAGACATTAAAGGGGAAATGAAGGCCTATTAATTGGTTATGATGGCAAAGTGACTTCGGCCTGACTGTCGGCCGTAGTGACCTATATATGCCGGCCGGGTGACAGTTATTGGGCCTTTAATTCCCATACACAAAATGTTTATTGGGTAGTTTATAATTATAGAATTTCCTTACCTTGTGTATCATGGGATGATCGAGGTGCATCAAAAATCTACAACTCAAATTCCTGAAGTGACAAACACCGTATTCATCCGTCGATGGAATGGCAGATCCGTTTATAGAAAAATTCGAACAATTAACTAACATCGATTCGTCATTCACTATTCCTAAAGGAATATTCTTGATATCGCCTCCTACAGCGCTCATGAATATTCCTACTTGGATTATCGGGAAAGTCATTAAGAAGAATATACCACTGAAAATAATAATTGTATTTATACTTATTTATGACCCAATTAATATTAAGTGTACGCCTCTGTGCTTTATACAAGTGAGTTACGATTCCCGAACTTATAAATAAGACAAAATATGTGTCGTTGAAGTTTGGACTTAAGAAAAGTTTTTTTCTTTCAGACTTTCATAGAGTAAATTTGTTTAATTTTTAAAATTTTGTAAAAAGCCACTGTTGAAAGCTTCCTTTTGTCGCGTAGGGAAAATAATTGTATTTTTTTGTTAATAGAACCAGTTTTTTTAAAATTATTACAGTCCACTTTTATTTATCTCACGTTTTGTACGTTGTTTGTTTTTTATTTTGTATATTTTTTGTAAAATTATATACATGGTGGTCACTCTTACAGTGTATAGCATTGGGATATCCTAAACGGTAATGGATACAGTGTTGGTTAATTTTGAGAAAAATTGTGCTAAATCATACCCATTAAGAATCTGCTTTAAAATATCTACAGTGGTTTCCAAAATATCTGGTAAAAACTAAAAATTTGTCATTTTGGAAAACTTACTTCCTTGTCTACATCCTATGAGCAAATTTAACGAAAATGTAGACTTTTGTATTATGAGTTACGCCCAATCAACATCCTTCTAGATTTTGAGCACCCATAACGAACTTTGCCATTTCTTACGCCCACCATATTGGATATTTATACCATTAAATCGAGCAAAAAATATCTATTTATAAAACCACTTAAGAAATGCATTTTATACAATATTTGCGAGACGAGCAGTGTTATATGCAATATTTTCTTTAATTTTGACTAGATTATTTATAAAATTGTGTTTCGATAAGACCTTAACATCTAGGCAACCAATATTACCTTCTTGTATTGTTAGTTGCTTATACATTATTTTACCCACTAAACATGAAACATTACCAGTCTTTTTTGTACCTAACGTTTCTCATAGAGACTTTTCTTGATATATTTTTAAAACAATGCTGAAATATCCCAGATATGTTTAAATTTTGACATCATATTCATTAACATTCCTCGCATATATCTACAAATGAAGTTTTATGTATGCTGCAATACTTGAATTAGCAGTTACATAAACATTTTTTGTACTTCTTTTTAGTTACTTCCTGTGACAACCATTTATACGATGTTAATTTGTATAACTCACAATAATATCGCATACAGGTCAGCACACTAATGTGTACAAGTTACACATCTTTAAGATGGTTATCTTTAGTCTTTACATCGCAGACCTGGCAGACCTAACAGTTGGTCCCGCGTTCATAGATGGAGATACCAATGATCGCTTGCTAATTACGTAACCGGTACTGTATTATAGCGGAGTCTGATGCTCAAAGTTCTTACTTTTACCTTTGATATTGATTTAGACTGTATTATCATATTTTTTCTGTAAAATTTCCTGTGATTAGAATAGAAGTTTAACTTGTCTTCTAAGCTTTTAACAAGTTTATTTATTTCTATTCTGTTTTATATAGATGAAATATAAAATTTATATAAACATAAAAAGGTATAAACGTCACATTTAGTTCATTAATATGATTTTATTTTATGGGATTTATAATAACATCTACAAGAATAAAAAGGTTTTCTTGGATATAACAGGAATGTCACAGCTGGTTTGTTAAGACATCATTTTTGGGAACTTCCAGTAACGTTGAATAACGTAACAAAGTAGCGCTATATAATATCATTGCAATGTCTACATTGTTTCATCACAAAAGTAAACGTCCCTACTCTGGGCTTAGACAGTTATGGGTCCATCCTATAGATGAAAACAATGTGAATAAAGTTCTCATTAATTTAACATTTTTATGCATAGTGGGTATTGATAAATAGAAAGTTTTAGTATGGTATAAAAGTCCAATATGGCGTCCATAAGTAAAGCAAAACTGAAGATTGAGAAATAAGATTTTGACCTAACCTCACTTTTCTTAAGAATATTTTAATGGCTTCAATGGTATCGTTGAATTGGGTTTTTTTTTTGGCTGTCCAATGATACAAAAATCCAATATGGCGGCCGTAAGAAATAACAAAGTTAGCTATGGTTGCTCAAAATCTAGAAGGCATGGATAGCGTCAATCGATTGGGCGTAGCTCATAACACAAAATTCTCAATTTTCGTTAACTGTGCTGAAATTATGTAGACAATATCGGGAGTTTTCCAAAATAACAATTTTTTGTTTTTTCCCGATATTTTGAAAACTCCTGTAGATATTTCAGATTTCAAAGTAAATTCTTAAAGGGTATGAAATAGCGCAACTTTCTTCTAATTTAACCAACACTGTATCTCTTACCATTCAGGATATCCCAAAGGTATACAATACACTGTTACAATGACCATCCTGTATATATTTAAAGAATATGCAACAAAAATTTACGAAAATACAAAAAATACAAAAAAATACAAAAAAATACAAAAAAATACAAAAAAATACAAAAAAATACAAAAAAATACAAAAAAATACAAAAAAATACAAAAAAATACAAAAAAATACAAAAAAATACAAAAAAATACAAAAAAATACAAAAAAATATAAAAAAAATACAAAAAAATACAAAAAAAATACAAAAATATACAAAAATATACAAAAAATACAAAAAAATACAAAAAAATACAAAAAAATACAAAAAAATACAAAAAAATACAAAAAAATACAAAAAAATACAAAAAAATACAAAAATATACAAAAAAATCACAAAATACAAAAATATTGAAATACAAAAGGTACAAAAATACAAAGATAAAAATATACAAATAAAATTTAAAAATGGAAAATAAAAACAAAAAAGAGTGTATGCATAGAACCACACGTCAGAAGTAAAAAGTTATTTGACATTGATAATTCTACGAAATTTATTATTTTAATACTATTTTATTTCTAAGAGTATATTCATCTGTAATGAATAGAAATACGATGTAAATATCGACATTATCGACACAATGTACGACGTGTTTTCTTGAATTGTGACTATATTACTGTTATGCTATATATTACGATATAACGTCCTCTCCGGTAAACTCGACTCCTCTAGTCGAGTTCTGCCGAGCGAATATAACAGTAACTCATAGATTATCGCAGTCTCACTGCACTGTCCGTCTTACTCTTTCTCAAATTTGGCAGAAACCGACTCAAGCCGAGTTTGTCCGAATAAGCGTTACATAAGCGAACGTGACGACTTATTTAAGGCGCGGCAAAAGAAGTTCTTACTTCAAAAATAAAAAAAAAACACTTACGTTACATTCCTATAAAATTGTTTCCAATTTTTGTCCAACAATGCCTTCATTCGACTTTTGTTAAGCGAATTACTGGTTTTTAAACTCTTCTTTTTAGTTAAAATCTACAAATTATTCGTGATTAGCATCTTTAACTAATATTTTTCATAAACTCAAAAATTAAAGAGATATTGACCTTTTAATGAATATAAAAATTAAGGAACTACTTAATGTTCTCAAAAGCTGTATGAAATAATTGGCATACAAACTTACATCCGTAGATCCGTGTCCAATTTCGAATGTAGAAACAGTAGCCACGCTCGTTCTAGATCCTGTATTATCAGTCACTATGACGGAATTGTTCTGATCGTCAACGATCGGTAGAGAACTGACGGCGGGTAGTTTACCTTCTTCCTGTCTTCTACTAAGAGTCAAAAATACATCTTCTAAGGTTTCGCTGTTAAATAAAGTTAAAAGACGAGAAGGGGACTCTTCTGCCAGAAGTCTTCCTTCCCGCATGAGACCAATCTGAAAAAATTTATTGATAATAATTGTCAGTTTAACCCCTGGAATTTCTTTATCTCCATCTGAGGCTACCCAAGATTTTTTTTGACGTATGAAAATATTATGAAGCAAAGCTAATGTTATTTAGCTAATCTCTATATTTTTAATACTGATAAATTCTTGATTTGTTATATTAAAAAACAGTATGAGTTGTACCTTGTTTGCTTGTCTACATTCCTCTATATAATGCGTGGTAATTATCACAGATATATTTTGTTGTCTAGTAATTTCCACCAGATGGTTCCATATCCTTCAAGAGAAATGTATAAAATTAACTTTCACTAAATTCTTTATCAATAAAACTGAAAAAAAAATAGATTTAAATGTTACCTGTTTCTTAATACAGGGTCCACTCCTACTGTTGGTTCGTCCATGATTAGTAATTCGGGGTTATGAACTAGTGATGCAGCTAAAGATACTCTTCTCTGTTGTCCTCCACTGCAATTTTTCAAATACCTGCAACGAAATCAAATTTGATTTTATACAACACGAGTAGATCTCAAAAATAGTGTTTCACTCAAATTGGTATAAACCTAAGGTGACCAACTTTCTAAAATCCATCAAATATACCTCATCATTTAGGTGTTCATATTTCCATTTTGGGGCAAAAGTAAGGCATGAAATAATACCGCTTATAAAAATTAGTAAATTCTACCCCCTGATATAAGTCACCAAGACCAACTTACTATTGTAGTAAGATTTGTTCTATTAAGAAATAAATCAAAGCAAATAAAAATTAGGGAGCATTTTTATGGGATTTATTTCAATATCAGATTCGACAGGACAGGATTCAACTAATGTTTTATTAGATTTTTTGGTGACACAACATTTGTTTGGGGGGTTTTAAGGGGACATATTATAATAGTGGGAATATGAAGGCTTGCAATAATGGTTTACAAAAAAAGTTGTTAACTTAAACCCTAGAGCTTTTTATGTACCTTGTGCGGTCCATAGTTTAAATTTAATGACGTCTTTAGAAATTACAAGCTTTTTTGTAATTTTACAGGAGCTATACGTTTTCTTATCCGCATCGACTAAACGTTGGAAGGTGTTAAAAGATGAAATCCCAACTTAAACTCTTTTCATATACTAGATGGGAAAGCAGAATAGATGTGCTTAAAGTTCTTAAAGTCTATTCCAATCCGAGATTCAGCGCATGTAAACAAAGATCAGCGCGTGATCGCCTCGTGGCTTGCTGGAATCTGCAATGCTATTGGTCAAACGACCATAAACTGCTAGAGCTGCTCTTTACTGTTTTGATGCAGATGCGTACTCAGATTCAGTGCGAAGTGCATCGTTAAATTTGTTGTTTGAATTGAATCTTTTTAAATACCATTACCTTTTAGTTTGCATATTGTGTTTTATTTAAATACTTTCGAAGTATATTAAATAACAGTGTGTTTGCTCCTCGAGCATATCCCGAAACTTTTTGTGTATTGGTATATTAAATAAAATATCCAGGATACTTGAACATGTCTAGCACGGATACAGCTGATGAGTCTACAGAAATGTATTTGTCTCCTCCTAGGCAAAGGTCGAAAAAGTCTCATTTCGACATAAAAAGCAAGGAAATGATTTTAAACGTTTATAAGCATGAGACTCAAGAAAATCCAACATTACTTAAAGATGAAATTGTAAACAAAGTGGCAAGTGTGGTCGCAGCGTCTACAAAATTATCAAAGAATATACCACTAACCATACATTTTCGGCGCCAAAAACCAACCAAAATCGTAAAAAAATTGTAGATTTGGTGGATGACTTTGATAGAAATGCAATCAGAAGAATAGTGCATCAATATTTTTTTAAAAAACGAACTCCCTACTATTGATAAGGTACTTAAAGACATCAAATGTCGCTCTGGACCTGCCAAGTTTTAAACGCACTACATTGTATAGATTATTGAACACATTAAATTTCAAATATCAAAAACGAGGAAGAAATAGCTTGCTTATAGACAGGGATGAAATAGTGCTATGTAGAAGAGAGTATTTACAAAAAATAAAATCCTACAGGAATGAAAATAGGAAGATTTATTTTGTAGACGAGACTTTGGTAAACGCCGGACATACCAAATCAAAAATATGGGTTGATAATTCTGTCACTTTCTCAAGACGGGCATTTTTTGATGGACTTTCAACAGGATTAAAAAATCCATCAGGTAAATTATAGTCGTATTATATTATTTACTTTCGGTATATGTATATTTTACAATTTTGGTATCTATCCGGCTGATTGAATAATACTTTAAAAATAAATGAAAGTACATTGTATCGGGACATTTAAAAACAGTTGATATTCAGGCTTTTCATTGCACGGCATTATTAAAATGGCTGACATCTTGAGCTGGTTTATTTGTCTGGGTATATACTACAGCATAAAAATGCTTTTTGATTTTATGTAAAGGAAAAAGGTTGATAGTTTGCCACATTGAAAGTGATAACGGATTTGTTCCAGAGCCGCTGTGGGCTTTTGCATCCAAAAAAAAGCCAGAGATTACCACGAGGAAATGGACGGAAAATCTTTTGAAAAGTAGTTTGAAAATATTTTGCTGAAACTGAATGATAACTGTATTGTATTAGACAATCCCCGTATCACTCTAGGAAACTGGAAAAAATTCCAACTACTGCATCAAGGAAATCTGATATTCAAGACTGGCTGCGTTCTAAAAGTATACAATTTGATGAAACATTACTTAAAGCGCAACTTTTCGCAATAGTTAAGAAGCACAGAAAAAAATATGATAAATATATCATCGATGAAATGGCTAAAGCTCAAAATAAAATTGTTTTAAGGCTACCACCATATCACTGCGAGCTTAATCCCATTGAGTTAATTTGGGCTGACATAAAAAATTTTGTTGTGGAGCATAATTGTACATTTAAATTTGTTGACATGAAAAACATATTTCATAATGCGATAGCTAGCATCACGTCAGAAAAGTGGAAGAAATGCATTGATCACGTGCAGAAAAAAGTCGAGCAAAAAATGTGGAAATTAGACAATATTATAGAGCAACAAATTGAACAATTTGTAATAAATGTGAATGAGAGTGACACGTCTTCTGACGAAAAAGAATGGCAACAGTAAATACAGTAATATTCACTCAATATAAATATTTGTTTTTTTTTTCACATCGACGATTGAAAATGCTATTCCAACCTGTTCTAACTGTTTTTAAATATTTGTTTAAAATTAGAAAAATGTGTATGATGGCTTCATAAATACCGCTCTAAGTGTCACCTTATATATTTTTAAAATATTTTCTTCCAATTTTCGTTGATATTAAGGTATTGAAAATTTATATCTCTAAAATTCTTAATTTAAATACACTAAAACTACATTGCAATAAAATGTTGTCCTCATTGCGGCCCTGGTCAAAAATTACATTCGCGTGCTTCTGTGTACATTTACTAAATCTCGGATTGGAATAGACTTTAGATACAATCTAACCCTATAGGTATTCTGATAATACTAGAAATTCTGAAACAAGAAACATGGCCAATTCATTACTTTTAAAAATTAAGTTGTTTGATTTTATTTGTTCCAAATAAGAGAAATGCCAGTGGGAAGGATTGGTAATGGTTTGGTAGAAGAAAAGATATACGGAGTGGCCCAAAAGTCTGGAAACGGCTAATTATCTCGTAAATTGCTAATCCTAATTGTACAAAATTTGGGGTACACCTATTGTGGGATACGAAGATTCCAGATTGGATATTTTCAATGTTGCCAGATTTGCCGTTTCTCTTATATTATTAGTCACTTTGGTTTTTCAAATTCACCACCCTGTATATTCAGTCATTATTGGAATCTCCTATTCAATACGAGTTCAACCATATGTAACACTTATGATTTTATGTAGTCTGGAAATAAATAAAACAATCCTGGAGAAATGTGGTAGACGCATTCTACTATCTATTAGTGTACTGTCAACTTACAAATGGAGCACATTTTGAACAATTGATAAAGTAACCATTATGTTAAAAATGTTATAATCTTTTAATTGTTAAGTTTCAATGTAGTTGAAAATAGTTTGTATTAAAATATTTATTGAGACAATTGGGCGTTGCCAGACTTATTTAATTTATTTAAGACCTTCCAGACTACGTAAAATCATAAGTGTTACATATGGTTGAACTCGTATTGAATAGGAGATTCTAATAATGACTGAATATACAGGGTGATGAATTTGAAAAACCAAAGTGACTAATAATTTAAAAGAAACGGCAAATCTGGAAACATTGCAAATATCAAATAAATATCAAATCGGAAATCACCGTATTCCAAAATAGGTGTACCCCAAATTTTGTTAGGACTAGCAATTTACGAGATAATTGGCCGTTTCCAGACTTTTGGGCCACTCTGTATATGTTCCATGACAATTTCCACAAAAGCATTTGCAATAAGAGGCAATTTTCGCCAAAATTTATGTTACATACGTTATATGTGTAATTATTTTAATAGTAGTTTTGGAAACCGTAATAATAGTTATTATCAACTCCGTTAGTCTTTTAGACATTTTAAAATGTTTAAAAACTTCCTTTTCGAATGTACGTATTAATTAAAATGTCATCTTTTGCTTTAAAATATGTATTAACCATTATATTTTATTTAGTTAGATATTTTTTTTTAATTTATATTAACAATAGATAATAAAACAATGTTTTCCTGTAATTGACTACCTATTTATACATTATATAACAAAACTAGGTTGATTTATTCTGGTTTTTTAAGTACATTTTAGTGTTCATTTAACGTCAAATTAGTTCGAACTGAGAAAACGTATTTTATATTATTTGTGCTATAAATTATACATTTTACGTTTTTTCTAAAGTCCAACAGGAACTTGTTTTCTTTATTAAAACTATTTGTAACTAATTTTTACTAAAAAACTTCCTGTAGCAAACCGTTTTTCAATAATTTACGTTTGTTTAGTAAAGTCCTCTTTGACCTCTTGATCTTGGTTGTATTTTATGTTTGTAAAAAACCATTTGATCTGCTTTTAAATGTGAGGTGAGCAAAAGCTAGTTTAGGTTAAGTCTCTACAATTTGCGTCAGATTGCCATCTAATATCTTCCTTAAAATGAACACTGCAAATTTTGACAGTTTTAAAATTGATTTGATATTTTCCTATACAACAACATTGCATCCATATTTTTTGTAAATGCTCCTTTATAGGCAAGGGAAAAATGATATCCTGTGGCCTGGAACCATCCAGCCCAGATATTTGACAGCATCTAATTATTAAATTTTAAAAAGGATGAAACATTTTTATTTGTAATCGCCTCTTTTGTACCGGCGCTTTTTTTGTCCTGGTACAATTTTGTCATGCGCTGCCTTTATCTGCCTTTATTTTGCTAATTTGCCATAGAGCCATAATAGAGCCTTCTGTCAATTTTAATTAAGAAAAGTGTGACAGTTAACGATAACCAAACTTTTAACAATAATTGACATATACGTTTTTACTGCAGTTTAAAGGTATGTAATTGGTTACTAACTGATTATACACTTGATGTATGTTGTCTATTTACTCCAGAAATATATTTATAAAAGTTTAGGAACAATATAATTTAGGTAAACAAAACGCATTCCAAGAAAAGAACTGGCATTGTAATTGTGAATAGAATCGTAATAACGTTATCACTAATTTGGCGTATTTCGATTTATTTAAACAGATTTAAAGTAATTCATTTGATAAACTTAAAAATTTACGCAGATGATGAACATGAGATGTCTTTTCTTCTTTAGATATACAAGAAGTCACAAAAATTATGAGTTTAAACTTATTATCCACAGAAAAATTGACTTTGTCTACGTATAAATCGTTCATGTTAATACAATAAAGGATTAACAAGAAATCTATTTCTATTCCTATTAAATTTACTTTTAATAAATAGGTACCTACGTAGTAAAAAAGTATATACATACCTTTCATCTGGAGGAAGTTCCAGTAGAGTATGTAATTCTTGGTACCTCTTATCAATTAGAGATTCCTCCATTTCGAAAATTCTTCCAAAATAATATATGGCATCCTTCACGGTAAATTCTCCAACTAAGGCTATGTCCTGTAAATAAAAATTATTTTGCAGGTACCAACTGATATTAAAACTCTCCTAACCAAAAGGGAATATTACAAAACATGGAAATTGCTCTATAGTTTCTTACATTATTATAACTTCAGTAAATATCAGATTCAAGCAATCTTTCGAACCTCTGAAAAAGTAGACGAAGGCAAAAAAGGTTTTGTTGATTTGGGAAAATTCACTTTTAAAAAACTAATATTCAAAAGATCTAGAGCAGTGTTATCATTACAGTCATTATGAAACGTAGTTTCATCAATTTCATTTTATTGTCATTTACTGTTTAATATTTTGAGAATAGCTTGACGAAAATTATATAATTTTCGACTTAATAGAAGATTCATTCAATTCAACTACATTTCTGACAGTAAGTCTTATAAATACAATTAGGCGGTGGGTGGCTCAGTGCTTAGAGTTCATACTTTCGAATCCAAGGGTCCCGTGTTCGAATCTCACCGTTGGCTCGGATTTTTTTTTATTTAATTTAATTATTTAAAAATAATTCTGATGTCTAGGTGGAATTCCCCACTCCGACCATTCACTGTTGGGTTCTAATTAACAGTGTTGTTCCTAAAGTGACGCTGGGAAACAGTAATAAAGCCTACACAGAACGCACACATATGAACATAAAATGAAACCATCATATATACATCTAAGCCATAAAATAAAAGTATTAGTTCGAAATTATTAATAATTGATGAAATACAGCTGATTATATAAAATTGGCCTTCATGAAAATATAAAACTAGATTTAGGATGTTTACTGCGAAATAAAATATACATAAATATATACCTGTGGCATGTAACCCACTCTTGGTCCAGGAACACCGCTACCAGCTTCTCCTGGCTTTCCACCCATCACCCATATTTCACCTCCGTCGATATTTTTTCTACCGACTATGCTGCTTAGCAGAGTTGTCTTTCCACAACCACTTGCACCGAGTAATCCATATCTGTAAACAAAGCATAAATTATTCAAAAATAAATTAATCCTAAATTAATCATAAATTAATCATAAATTAATCATAAATTAATCATAAATTAATCATAAATTAATCATAAATTAATCATAAATTAATCATAAATTAATCATAAATTAATCATAAATTAATCATAAATTAATCATAAATTAATCATAAATTAATCATAAATTAATCATAAATTAATCATAAATTAATCATAAATTAATCATAAATTAATCATAAATTAATCATAAATTAATCATAAATTAATCATAAATTAATAATAAATTAATCATAAATTAATCATAAATTAATCATAAATTAATCATAAATTAATCATAAATTAATCATAAATTAATCATAAATTAATCATAAATTAATCATAAATTAATCATAAATTAATCATAAATTAATCATAAATTAATCATAAATTAATCATAAATTAATCATAAATTAATCATAAATTAATCATAAATTAATCATAAATTAATCATAAATTAATCATAAATTAATCATAAATTAATCATAAATTAATCATAAATTAATCATAAATTAATCATAAATTAATCATAAATTAATCATAAATTAATCATAAATTAATCATAAATTAATCATAAATTAATCATAAATTAATCATAAATTAATCATAAATTAATCATAAATTAATCATAAATTAATCATAAATTAATCATAAATTAATCATAAATTAATCATAAATTAATCATAAATTAATCATAAATTAATCATAAATTAATCATAAATTAATCATAAATTAATCATAAATTAATCATAAATTAATCATAAATTAATCATAAATTAATCATAAATTAATCATAAATTAATCATAAATTAATCATAAATTAATCATAAATTAATCATAAATTAATCATAAATTAATCATAAATTAATCATAAATTAATCATAAATTAATCATAAATTAATCATAAATTAATCATAAATTAATCATAAATTAATCATAAATTAATCATAAATTAATCATAAATTAATCATAAATTAATCAAAAATTAATCATAAATTAATCATAAATTAATCATAAATTAATCCTAAATTAATCATAAATTAATCATAAATTAATCATAAATTAATCATAAATTAATCATAAATTAATCATAAATTAATCATAAATTAATCATAAATTAATCATAAATTAATCATAAATTAATGATAAATTAATCATAAATTAATCATAAATTAATCATAAATTGATCATAAATTAATTATAAAACAATGAATCTCTTATTTAATAAAAAAAAAGAAAAAAACGAAATATATGTTATGACTATGAATGTTTTCATGAAGGGCAGCGATATTTTTTTACAAAAAAAAAGTATGTAATGATTGGACGAACAAGGATAAACAAAATATCAACACTATTATTGAAAAGAAAATACCTAATTGCAATAAAATTCTAAATAAACGAAGTTAATTGATCTTTTAGCGAATTTTGATTGGTTGTATGTCAACCGTAGATTAAACAACTAAAAAATAACTTACATGATTCCTCTTTCTACTTTCATGCACAACTCCTGCAAAATTTCTTTAGTACCATATTTTTTCACGACTTTGTCAACATAAACGGCATATTCTTCGTGCATTTTCTGAAAAACAAAAATAATATTTTCACTGCTGATAATAGTAGCTTACTTTTAATAGAATGTATAGTTGTGTCTACAGAATACTAATTAAAAAATACATGTGTCTATCAATTTGTTTACGAAGCCACGATAGTGATATTGAAATTAATCAAAGATATAAGTATTTTGTCGTATTGCATTTTCTTCGTATTATACCTTGTACTTTCTTCTTATGCTTACCATTATAAATGTTAAAAATATGGTTTACCTAAAAATCAATCAAAATAATCTCTTCAGATTAACCAATTTATGTCTAGGAATTCTAGAACTTGGCAATACCGTTTAATCTTTAAAATAATTAATATATTTTTCATATATCTTATAACATTTAAAAAATCTGATTTATGAAGGAATTAATTGTATTGAAAAATATTTTCAAACTGAGTAATTTCGTAAATATTTTGAGCATTCGATTATTTTAAATGCCACTAGCAGTTATAAAAATAATATAAAGGCATAAAGCAATAAAAACTTTCTTATTTTAATTTCAATTTATGAAATCGCGATATAATATTATGTAAGTACTGATAGCTGAAATGCATTTATGCTTATACTGATACTTGTGGGATCGTTTGCCTTGAGAAACATCATCTCATGCTTTAGATGGGTAAAAAATATATCTAGTCGATAATAAATTATAGCTGGTTAAATTCTAATTACTTACTATCAAATACAGTCAATTTTCTATTAAGCAGTGACCGGTTAAAATTAAAATATTTTCTGAATTCTTACAATTTGACGTCTCTTGCTCAACTGTTAGATGTATTGGAAATCTGGGTATCAGGGGTATATCACACTAATTAATGACAAGCTACCTTAAAAAAAGAATACAAATGGTAAAAACTAAGAATTATTACAGTATTTAGCATATTAAGTACAGTGTACCTCTGGGAACTATTTTAGGACCGCTGCTGTTTACTTTATACATAAATAGCTTACTTAATTTAGAAATATCTGGCGAGATATGTTTCGCTGACGATACTGCTATTATTTATAGCAGTCAAACATTGAAAAGTCTACAAACAAAAAATTATGAAATAGTTTAATCACAGTTTACTAACTGTTGATTTTGAAAAAAAGGTGGGGTAAGTGTGTATCTGGGGTAAGTGTGTAGAGGCATCATAACTTCTATTCGGTGGTTTATTGTGGCTCCATCTATGAGCAAGGGGTACAACTACATGTTGTGTCATTTTTTAATGTAGAATGTTTGAGCTCAAATAATTCCCAGACACGCAGTGGTATCCAAAGAAAACACATGACAGTGTGGGCACTGAACCCAACTTGGTTAATAATTGTTAATCTGCCGTCGTCATCAAAAAGCAAACAATTAAATCGATATAGCAAGTTGAAAAAGTAAGTCTTTTCGTAGTTTTGCAAATATTTTTGTATTTTTTAGATATAACCTAAAAATTTTATTTACTAAACAAGTTGCCCCACAGAAATCTCATGTGTAGTAAATAGTTTTGTTTCATTATTATTAAATAAAAAGTTTGTAACTCATAGATCGATTTTCCTTTTTTATAAATGTGTATAGCATATTAAACATCGTTCTTTTGAGACTTACACACATGCCCCTGACCTCTTTAAATGCATAAATAAGCAAAATATACACTAAGTACACACTTGTCCCCACTTCAAGGGGGTACATACCTTGTTTTAAAAAAAATAGCACAAAATGAAAAGTTTTAACATTTTAATGATTTTGCTACTACCGCATATTAGGAAGACAACAAGTAACGTACTGATGTCAATAATTTTAATTATTTTCTTGGGTTGAATTTTTACGAGTACATACGAGTATAACTAAACTTGCATAATTTTACTAAACTCTTACCCCACCTTACTTTAGACCGTTTTCCGAATATAGCCGAACAACCATTATATTAACTAAAGACTAATCAAATTTTTTTATATAAGATACTTTTTAAAATAAACACAGTGTCGCCATCTACATAACTAACCGCGGGCACGCCCTCTTAACACTATCGCAATAACTAACTCTTGATTTCTAAATGTACAATAATTATAATATCAAGTATTAATTTACTAAGATGACGAAATCTCATGAAATAATTTATTTTCATTAAACAACCTGTTGCGATAATTATATTGCAGTTTTAAAACCAGGATATATTTTTTATTATTGCTCTCGTTTTTTTAACGATGTTTAAAAAATATTTGAATTCATTGTTATTCAAGAAAAAAAAATGTAGTTATTATAGTGACTTGGCAGATTCATATAGTAAACTCCGTAAAGAAGTTACAAAAAGGAAATGATTATTCATACAAAAGCAAAATTCTAAGAATCGTGTGGACACGCTCTATACAAGGTTGTTAAAAATTGTATCTTCAAATTGTAGTGTGTTGTATGAATCTTTGTAAAATACAAATATATAAAACCTAAGTCTACATCACTGAAAAGTTTATTTCTTGCTGTTATTGAAAATTATAATTGATATTAACACTTTCATGTCGAAATATCTTTTATTTACAACCATATATGTAATGCTGTCATTACTAACGTCATTGAAGGTTGGGAAGTGCCACATTACACACCTCTACTTCCCGCTCTCATTTCCCGCCCTCATTTCATCTATTCTAGATGAATATTTTTTATATTTAAAAAAAATAACACATTTTTTTGACAAATTTTATAATACCTATTGTTGTGTATGTCTTTGAAAGAATATGACTAGACTGAGATTGGTACCAGGGAATTAATTATTTAACGGGTTCAAAGAGTGCGAGTTGTCATACTTGACATAGAGCATGGAACCAAACCCACAACCTATGTATGTTTTTGTTTTATCGTTGTTGTTAAGCTAGTTGTCTTTTTATGAATGAAAGAAAAGGATCTGTCAAAAGAGAATAAAGTTTCATATAAATTTTATTGCGTTATTTATACACAAATACAAAACCTATTAATGACAAACAATAAAAAACAACAATGAACTGAAATACAACAAACTACTTATTGATATTTATTATTCGCGAATTTAATATCCGACTTTATCTGACATTTATTTATATTGGTGACAATTGTTTACCCCGTAATCACGGTAACAATATATTTACTTGATTATTCTGAGAAAATCGCGAGCTTGGTAATTTGTCGTTAAATTCGCGTCTCGGTGACCTAACTAATCTCACGACAGGAATGAAACTCTTCCCACCTCGGTGTGTAATATACTATTAAATTTCCTTACAAAAATTTCGTGGTATTATTAGATATTGTCAAATAAAGAGTTTAGAACTTCTGTAACGATTAAATGAAACATTATTTTAATTTGCATATATTTAACCTAAATGTTTTTCTGAAATGATTACCCTGCATTTTAGTCATATTTCTTTGTAGACTAGTTAACATTTATAATCAATTTAAGTAATTTATTTAGGAATATACTTTTTCTATCACTAGTCAGAAATATGTTACTTTAATCTTATTTTAGTTTTTCGTACTTATTATTATTATCTTGCGTTTAATTTTGCATCGCAACTTCTTCGCGTATACTACTATTACGTATAATATGCATTCGTAATGAAATAATTATTAATTATAAATCTCGAGGCTTTAGGTTCTTACATTGAAACAAGTGCAAGTGAGAGAGGAAACAATGAATGAGACCTTGAAGTAAAAATGCATTTCAAATTGATGTGGTCAGATACTAATACAATAATATTCTATCAACTGTAATTACTACAATAATAATTGCGCTAAGATTTCAAATGATAAATGAAAACGTTTAGTGCAAAAATGCATATTTTTCTGTGAGGGGAAAAAAGTTTCGATATTTTATCTCTCTTGGCAGGGAAAAAAATGAGTGCTAGGGGCTGATTCCACAGTTGTATTAAACGAAGTTTAAATTATTAAACGAACATTATGTCATTTTAATCTTCATTTAACACAACGGTGGAATCAGCCCTTAGATACTTTTCTTCCGGATATTGACAGATATTTGAAACTTTTAAGGTTTCTCTAGCAACGCAGGTTCAATTAACTAATTTCTATAGCAAAACTGTCAAATCCTGTACATGAAGTGGAAGAACTGGCAAAAGCCTTTCCAACTTCTGTTCCTGCTCTAACAAAAACATATTCTGGCAACACTGGAGATGACATATTTTATGACAGATGAACGCACTTTTCGAGTGACGAAAAAGTGTAATGACAAGTGTAAATTAAAAATTTAAAAAAACCGACTTCAGAAACGTGCAGATGCCATCACCACATCTTAACCAAATTTATATGGGATCACCCCTGAGGTACCCCCTTACTAACAAAAAAAGAATCATATAAATCGGAAAAGGTGGTAAAGCATTATCGCTAAACATACATAAAAAATGAAGAGTTTGAGGATTTTCTCATGGACCCAATTTTTAGATTTTGACCAAATTTATATGGGACCACCTCTGAAGTAGCCCCTTTCTAACAAAAAAAGAATCATATAAATCGGACAAGGTGGTAAAGCATTATCGCTAAACATACATCAAAAATGAAGAGTTTGAGGATTTTCTCATGGACCCAATTATTAGATTTTGACTAAATTTATATGGGACCACCCCTGAAGTACCCCCTTTCTAACAAAAAAAGAATCATTAAAATCGGACACCGTGTTAAAGAATAATCGCTGAACATACATAAAAAAAAAAAAAAAAATATCGCGACGGATTGATAACCTCCTCCTTTTTTGAAGTCGGTTAAAAATGGCGACTTAAGTCGTATTTTGATTTATTTGAATTCAATAATTTTATATTTGAAGACTGACGGGATGAAAATGATTTTATATCATTTAAATGAAGCTATTAAAAAAGGTGGTATTTATTCTCACCAAAATTGACTATAACTCCACTATCTCGAGTTTGACATATGACATAAAAGTGTGAAGCATAGATGGCGCTGCATTACTAAGAAATGGTTAAAGACATGGTTATATCTAAACAAAATTCTACGCCTAAGAAAAAATTAT